TCTTTGCACTACCTGTGCCGCTTTATCTGATGTCTGGATGTATTCCGGTGGAAGGGAACTGAGCTGGGACTCCACCTCAGCGGTAGTCTCACACGGCAAGTTACTTTGTTCTGTTTCGAATTGAATTGATTACCCTATTCACTTATATCACGAGCTCGGGAAGCTTTTAAAGGGGACCGCGACACGGTAATTGTTACCCTGCGAGCGGTACTAGTACTGTTGTAGACCGTACATGTGAAATTTATTGTCCAAGATCTGGAATCTACCACCATCAAATATTGTACATAGTTCCACCAATTTAAGGAGCGCGCGTATTTTCAATATGCGGAGGTTGATTTGCAGCTGTCACTTTCCTTGTGCTATTTCTGAACTATGTGAGGGCGTATCACACGATGGCATATGAGGTCCATTATTATAAACTGAGCAAAATGTCGTTTATTCAGAATTTACCGCTGATCGTATTGTGTGACTCCATAGTCACGCCCAGATTCCATATATATCTTCGGAAACGTAACGAGCGTAAATGTAAATGTCAATTTTAAAATACCAGATCGAATTTTAAATGCCTATTATGCGTTAAAAAACGGCTTCATGTCTGGGGTGACTGTTGCACAATGTTCATGAGAAGCATATTGCTTCGTGACGTTAGCCACCCACATGTTGTTTTCATGAGCTTTTCTCGACCTCCTCCACGTCCACACTGAGCTTCGATTGACTAGACGTAGTTCATCGCATACAGTGAGGAAAGCCTCTCATCTTTCCTTGGCTGGTGGCAGACGAGAAGGTTATTTCCCTCCCTTGCGAACATTAGCAGAGCCTGCACTCTTGCGCGAGCCACAATCAACATGCACTGACTGACTGAAACGTCCAAGGAACGTGTGCTTTGGCAGATTGACGAGCACCTGTCCAGGTCAGGCTGTTCCGGACATTCTGGTCTGAAGTAGACGCGCAAGTTACTGATGGTGTCGGACCGCCCAACTGCCACCGCTGCTTGCGCCCATTCATGTCGACCAGGGCTCGAGTCATTCGATCGCACGAGCAGCGCGACAGATGTCAAAGAGGCTATTGATTACTATTGTCTAGACGCTATGCGGCGAAAGCGGAGTAGGGCGTAATCCAGCGAACAGGAACAGCCGCCAGTCCAGCCTTACAGAATCTGATGAAAATCATGGCACGATGCGGTCCAGGCGACCTGATCTCCCACGGATCATGTTGGGGGATGCGGGAAGGAACAATGATAAAAAAATTGTACGCGCTCTTTTCGAGTGCAAGCGCGTTCGTGAGAAGTGATCGGCAGATGATCCTTCGACACGATATGTCCGGCTGCGCGGCTGCAACCAGAGCTCGCTTTTTTTCCCCAAGCTGCTCAAACATTCGTATTGGTTTGAGGATTAGGAGAGACACACACATGTTATTAGTTGCATTGGGGAAAACACGTTCAACAGCTTACTGAAGTCTGTGAGGTAGATCAGGGACGATTCCGCGAAGTTGTTGCGAGAGATCCAGGGGCACGGTAACTGTGTCAGCCTTCGAGCCTCGCCACTAGCTCACGGATATTGTATCCTGGTCTGTCGGAAATAAGGGGCGTTATGAACTGAGTCTAGAGTGACCGTTAATCACAGTACTTGGCTGGTGATAGAATCACAGAAGACATCTGGATTCCGAAACGGGCGTCTTCATACGATTTATTCATACGAGCAATTGTATTGCCGGTCTCTGTGCCCACCTTTGTATGAAGATATAAGATATACCTTACTCCATGGGGCATCTCGTACTTGAAGAACGTGCATTGAAATGCTTTGCAGCCATGCCTCATCCAGGGGCGGTTCGCAACAACCCTGCACAATTCTCCCGACTGACAGATGCCAGAATGTCAAGAATATCAGCAGGACACAGCGCGGGCGGCAGCAGGCAACAGAATGGAACCAGATGGAACATGCAAGGTCCCTTGGCAATCGAGGTACATACGTGGCATTGATTGACATCACAGTACCCGCTGGAGCAATTTTTCAGAGAAGCTCACAGTGTTCAGCTTCTCTGTCGGTTCTACATTGCTGATGTTGCAATCAATAAGTTGTCAAGGATGACAGTCCGTGAGTGGGAACATTCCGTGGTCCAAGGATGAGGGATTTCCGCTTCATATAGAACGACTTGAATCGAGTAAATGCACGGTTTCTTGCAAACATAGCCATGGTCTTCCCAATAGCCATTCTGTCATCAGAAAATTGTGAACTTATGACGTACCTGAGCGTCAACCCCGTTCGCGGCCTTGAGCCTTACGTACAGACGGTACGTGCAAGAAATTGGGACAATTTCATGCTGCGTGAGGCAAGACGTGGCTAGAAAATTGACGTGACGCTTCGGAAATTCTTGTACCTTCTTGGCAGAGCGTAGATCAGAGACCTGTCAATTGAGAGCTGCTACAGGTCGCCGAACGTGCATAGACAGGCGAGACGCTGCTCGATGGTCACTGCAGTACACGTGTGTGGGGGGACTTGAGTTCATGACTGATCAGCTTTAGGGAAACCGTTCAGACCGCGATGTGCGGGAGAAGTTCACCTGATAGACAGGCAGCTTCGGGCTAGCCGTTTGACGATACAGATGGCCCGATGGCAAGCATTCTTTTCGGGAGATCAGCTGGCCAGCCTCATCATCACCAGTAGTGCTGTCGAGTACGTCTGTATCAGTACTAACCCTGGAGAAGCGGAATGAATACAAGCGCGGTGCATGGACAGCTCATCTTCAGAGCACATTGAATTGCATGATCGTCCGGGTCCAGGACAGGGCTGGCTGAGCCATCGGAAAAATCGGTGCTGATTCCAATGACTTGCGGAGTCCATTGCGGAGACTCAAGGTTGGACCTATGGTATGTATAAAGGTCCTGCATAGCAGCTCTGCCTCCATCGCCATCGTTCACGTCTCAGCAACACACAGCAGCTATAGTATCATGAAGCTCACTTACTTCGCTTCCGCAGTCCTCGCGGTTCTCGTTGTGCTCCCCGCTGCTCGTAGGTCATCGTTGACCATGTCACTGCATGATTGACTGACGGTCTGTCCACCCAAGACGCGGAAGTCAAGGCAGCCTGTGGAACGGACGGAGAGGTTGTCAGCAACACTACCTTTGTCCACAACGGCCATCAGATCAGTGTCGTTACCCAAAGCTGCCCCGGATTTGCTCAGCGCCGTGCTCTTGAACGTCGCGAGCCAGTCTTGCAGGAAAAGCGCCAGTTGGACATCTGCGGCTATGAAGGTGAGTCAAATGATCGCATTATTATGAGCAGCTAATGCTTCTTATGCTCGCAGCTACCATCGAATGTGAAGATCTGGGGGCGGAGCCCCTTCTAGCTTCTTGCTTGACCCTCACCGACGCTCTCGAGGATTTGGGAAGTAAGTGGTGAACACATGCTGAAGGGATTGCAGCAAGATAACAGGACGCTGCAATTCTGCAGCCGAGACATTTTACTCGGGTCCGGACACGCTGACGACGTTCACTGATAACGCTGCTCCTGATTGCGTGTACGGATTCGCCAATCCCACGGCCGATTACTACTATGTCTGCTACGAGACGGTCGTGAGTGGAATCCTCCTTGGACAGACATAGAATCCGCTTACGAAAGATATGTTGCGATGACTCAGGGTGAGCTCGGCTGGGTGGTCGCCGATGACTGCTACTCATACGGAGGAGGATACGGCGTCGTTGGCACCGAATGGTACCTGGAGTGAGTATCTGACAACCTTCCGTCCTGTAGTCACGCTAAACGGCATTACACAGGGTCTATAACTGAAAGGAGTATGGAGAATCAACACCAAGGGATTGAACTGATCCCAGACTTTCTCCTATTATATGTCCGCCTCATCTTTGTATCAGTGCACGAGTGATTTGCTGGATCTGTTATGGTTGGTGATTTAGCCTCCTTCGGGAGCTTTTTCCATATAGGATGGAATGCAAAGTTCTTTGATGACAGGTCGGGAGAGAGTGATTATGGACTGAGTCTCAGAGTTGAAAACGAATCGGCCTTTTCGCCTCGGAGTGAGCAGATAGGAAGTATAGCGAGGCAACGGCAGTGTTGTACCTTCAAATAAAAGGTAAATGTAAGTAATGGCGTCACCTCGACGTGTCCAAAATTGATACGTCGAGCATCACATCAATAATGCTGGAGAGAGGACGACACAGATCACCCCGGGGCATTCCTGGCAAAAACAAAAGAGATACTTAGAGTTCCAGGTGTACAAGGTCTGACAGAAGCACGCTTTTCCATCTAATGCTCCTTTAGTCTGCGAGGATCGTCCTACCATGCATTATTCGGAATTTAGGGAGGGGCGAAAAGCACGAGTCCAGATAGAGTGGCTGAAACATGCTTACTGGAAGCAAAAGAGTCAACGATATTGCCTGCTGAAGAAATTCCCTCACATTCTGATTGGGGAAACTGCCCGTTTTAGCAAGACCTTGCTCAAGAACCGGGTGAATCGACGGAATACATGTATCATCGCAAAGCCGTGATCGTAACAAACACATAGTCAGAGCATGTCGGTGCGAGCCATACCAGGAGAATCCGCGCCATCAACTTTTCCGGGGGTGTCGCGGCGACAGAACTAAGAGATGATCGGCGTGCGCATCAACGACCTCGCCGGGGATCTCCGCTCGCGTATTCTCACCTGCCGAAACCACCATCATTTGGTGTTGTCGAAAGTAGTCCGGATATCCCTGCATATCCTCTTGAAGGCTGCATGCGTGATCACTCTCTATCTAGGATAAGCCCGCTCGGAGTCTTGAAGCTTCGCCGCGGCTTGGGAGCTTCCTAACGAGGCGATCTCGATGCCGAAAGCTTGCGTATACACGGACGGCACTGTGGGGCGGTTACTTCGCGTGCAATGGCACAACAAGCGAATTGCTATTGCGTGTACGCGTATATCACGGCTTGCTCGAAATCCCGATCCGATCGGGAAAGCTACAGAATAAAACTCTCGTTTGTACAGCGCAGCCGGAGACTACTTCTGCCTCACTTTTGACAGACGAAGCCCTGTGCAATTCCTCATTCGCGCATCATCATATCCCTCTTATCCTTGAACAATCAGCATGGGGATCCTATCAGAAGTGTACTATGCCGCCGTCTTGTTCTGGCGTGTCTTCTTCCCTCGAGGCGACTTTACTACAGCTACGATGCCTGACCTCACGGGCCATGTAATTGTGGTCACAGGTGCAGTTCGTACTTTCATCGTGTGGTTCTCTCTGGTTTGATGACGATGCAGGCGGAAATACCGGCATTGGTTGGGAGACGATCAAGGCTCTCCTGGAGCATAATGCCAAAGTATATATGGCGTCGCGCAGCAAACAGCGCGCTGAGGTAGCCATTGCACGTCTGAAGGAGGAAACGGGCAAGGAATCGATTTTCCTTGAACTGGATTTGGGTAACTTGAAGTCGGTGCGGAGGGCTGCTGATGAGTTCCTAAGGTGAGTGGTCGATCGAATCTGGAGCGCATATAGCGAGGTGCTGATGTACCGAGGACAGCAAGGAACAGGAATTGCATGTGCTATTTAATAACGCGTGCGTACTTTCGTAAGCATATATGCATGTCGGAGTGAGATAGGTATACTGCAGTGGCGTCATGACCCCTCCCAAAGAACAGCTTACCGCGGACGGTTACGACCTGCAGTTCGGCACTAACGTCATAGGCATGCTTTCTACGCTTCATATACCATCCTACGCTCATTCATGCCCATATATTCATAGGCCACTTCCTGTTCACCGAACTGCTCATGCCTGCACTCTTTGCTGGCGCCCAATCGTCTCCCGATCACCACGCGCGCATTATCACGACCTCTTCCGGCGCTGCTATGCTCGGTCATATCGACTTTGATTCTTGGAAGGAAGGCACCGGCCGACAAAAGGCATCGGTCAGATCCTTGTATGGTCAAAGCAAACTTGTGCGTAGCTGCTGCATCGCTTTGATTACGCAGAGCTAATGATGCATCATGTCTTGACAAATGGCAGGCGAACGCGATCGTCGCAAGGCAGATCGCGAAGCGATACGCGGATAAGGGGATCATCTCCATCTCTGTTGACCCAGGTACACTTCAATGCGCACTCCCCTCGCCTGTTGTCAGTGCTAACTTTGCTTCTCATGCCGCAGGGAGTATCAAGAGCGATCTTCAACGTTACGCCAGGCAGCGCACCGGGGTCGAAGGGTTGCTCATAAGCATCGTGGTGCGTCTCTTCTTGTCCGCTTCGGGGCACTCCAGCGGGTCGATGTTCATGACATACCTGGCGCAATAGTTAAAGCTCCTTCTGCGCCCGACGCCTTTCGGCGCGCTTACGCAACTGTGGGCGGGGACGATGCCCGAGGCGATCAATGCCAATGGAGAGGTACGCATCCTGCTCCTGTTTGCTTCACGGTGGGATGGAGAGTAAATTATCGCTTTATGCAGTTCGCGGTCCCGACCGCACAAGTCGCTAAATGTCGC